CCTCAGCCTTCCAAGTAGCTGGAACTACAGGTGTGCGCTACCATGCCCAGCTAATTTTTTGATTTTATTGTAGAGATGAGGTCTTTCTAAGTTGCCCAGGTGGGTCTCGAACCCACGAACTCAGGCAATTCACTCACCTCGGTCTCCCAAAGCGTGGGATTACAGGCTGAGCCACCGAGCCCAGCCACTTTTGCGTACTATTAACAACATGTAGTGATAAATGATGTCTTAGACCTTATTAACTCCCTTTACTCTATGGAAAGCTTGATGAATATTTCTGCTGCGTGTTACTGATAAGAAGCTGTGCGATACCTCTGGTAACCAGTGCCAGGAAATGTGGACCATAAATGTCATTGTAGACAAAATGCGGCTATAACTTAAGTTCTACGCAAAGCTCTGCCAGTCATGTTGTCAATGTATGAGTACCAACAATCCTGAACTTATAAAAGCGGACTGTAAAACCTGAAGGGTGAGCAGAACCATTTTAGAAAGGCCAGGAGCCCAGCTCTGCTCCCTGAATTCGAATTCAGAAATAAACTGCTTTTGACCAGTTCCCTGCCTCTTGATTTATTGGGGTCAAGGGTTAGCAGCCGCGTGTTACTTGGACTGTAAAAGAAGCAACATTAAATTATTTGATTGGTTCGCAGTTGCGAAATTGCCTTTTTGAAGGTATGCTCGTTGGCTGCTTATGATTGGCTGGGATTATATTTCTGATAAGCATTTATCAGAAATGACCTAAGTTAAATTTTGCTTCTATTTATGGTTTAACCGAGATTTAGGTCACTTATGAGACCTGCTGGATTTTGTCTGCTCAGGTTTTCTTCAGACTTGGCCACCATTTTAATTTACTTTAACACTTGTGAGGAAGGAGGAATGTGTGTTTTTACTTCTCTAGCATAGAGGTTCTGGGTACCTGCTTTGGCATCAGACTGCCTGCAGTGTATCCTTGGGCAAGACGCTTACCTTCTCTTAGCCTTAGTTTCCTGGCCGTGAAATGGGGACAACAATATTGTCTTCAGGACTGAGTGAGATAATGCAGGTGAAACAGTATACTGTCAGGCGCAGAGTAAGGGCTCAACATGCCCTGTCCTCTTTGACCAGCCCCCTATGTGTTACGTTTTTTAAAAAATTTTTTTAAATTTTATTTTTTGAGTCAGAGTCTCTTTGTTGCCCAGACTGGAGTGCAAGTGGCATGCCTCAACCTGCTGGGTTTAGGTGATCCTTCCACTTCAACCTTCCAAGTAGCTGGAACTACAGGCGTGCGCCACCATGCCCAGCTAATTTATTTACTTATTGTAGAGACAAGGTCTCGCCATTTTGCCCTGACTGGTCTCAAACTTGTCTGGCCACTGTGTCTGGCCAGCAAAGAGTCTTTAATAGGAGAAAGTGGTCAGTTGTGTATCATATGAGTAGTGTTCAGTTAAAAATAATGGAAGTCCTAGCCGGGCTCGGTGGCTCAGCCTGTAATCCCGCACCTTTGGGAGGCTGAGATGAGTGGATGGCCTGAGCCCGCGGGTTCGAGACCTGCCTGGGCAGCGAGACCTCATCT